ACTGCGATGTACTTGGATAGTCTTCCAAGTCTTCTTTGATTTTGAATTCCATCATGCCTTGAATAAGATTTTATTGTATTAAAAAAACTGCTGAGCTCTTTAAACGAACTATTTCAGAAACTTTTCTAATGGATTCCGCTTTTTTTTAACTTGAAAGTAACAGCAACATATTTCCAATCACATATGATTTCCTTGGAAAAAAAATCATTAATGTAATATGTTAAAATAACTAATTCTTGAAGAACTCAAAATGACGTTTCAGATATTGCCTATTGTGTTTCGATACTCCAGAAAAATCAAATTCACACATTATATGTATTAAAATTTTTTAAGCGCAGCCTGCTAATTAATTTTGTGCTCCCATTAATTTTGTGATAATATTTTCCAGCTCGAAAGAAAAAAAGTTAATTTTGGGAAAAAGCAGCCGAAGATTTGGAAAAAATATTTCTTGTAAAAGGGAGTTAAACAAACGCTTATGTTAAAGAAAATCACATTTTACACCCTCAGTTTCGTGCATCTAAAAATTCGGACATTATTTTCGGAAACATAAAGTGACCTGTCGCTTTTTAAAAACTCAGTGCTACATTGCTACTATTCAGAAATGGTTAAAACAGGAGAGGGGTTATTCCTTAGAAAACAAGGAAATGCGCTTAAGTGAAATGTATTCCTTCCCTCTCAATATACTTATTTCGGTGAGCATACATAATTTCAAGGCAGCACTTTTTTAATTATAGTATCTAGAAACTATGTTTGAATTTTCTTTACATCAAAAGAGTCATCCTTTATCTTCAGGAATAGGGTCCAAGGACACAATTGCAGTCTATAAAGAGGGTAAAACACAGTAATTTCCTAGAAGCCTTCACACTCCCCGATTCTCAAAGGTCGGAAACGCGTAGCATTGACATGCCAAAATGCCTACATACACTATTGTCAACGCAGATGATGAACCTTACGTCTGCCATAGAAAACTTTTAAAAACTTAATTAGAACTTTCAGCACCTATTTTCTGATGAAATATTTCATTAGAAATGAAGAAAGTAATGCTATGCGAGACTCGCGCTTTCTCGGCTCGGGAGAAACCCTCGGCTCTAAAACTGGTGTTTTCTTAATGGCTGATATAAGAAAACACTTATGAGGTTATCACATCTCGTGAGGCTAGAAGAAACTTTTCCCGAGAAACGAGCTTTTCCACTTGCCAACCATTGGAGGATTCCTAGCCGAAACTGTTTTGGCTAACTGAGATATTTTGAATACTAAACCAAAAATGTTTCACTTGAAGCTTGTGTCCATCGCAGGGTTTTCCCCCAAATGACTGGTTTGCGCCTAATTAAACCACTTAGCCATCCCGAAAGTGACGATTCCAATTTGAGAGTAGCTTGTAGATACGATACCGGTTTCGATTCATCGTCAATTATGAAGTCATCAGCCTGATTAACTCTCGATATTAAATTTGTAGAGACATTAGATTAATTGGAAAAGCCGGAGAGATGAAAAATTAGCAACGCCTTCGCCGGGAATCGAACCACACCTTTCAATTCAGACCTCTGGAATACCGGCCCAGCGTGCAGAACCACTACACCACGTAGGCACTTTAGGAAAGTGGAGAAATACCTTATATATTCCCCTTTTAAAGGGCGACTAGGGTTTTTTTAAGGGACCCAATCGCCAAATCCTGGGTGAGGAGAATCATCATCTAACACCCTTTTAGTTCGGGCGCCACTGTAGAGACATTAGGTTAATTGGAAAAGCCGGAGAAATGAAAAATTAGCAACGCCTTCGCCGGGAATCGAACCACGGACCTCTGGAATACCAGCCCAGCGTGAACACGTATGCACTTTAGGAAAGTGGGAGAAATACCTTATAAATTATCCCCAAAAAATCATAAAAAATTCAATTTTCAACCGTTAATTATGAAACAAAAATATGTTTCTATACAATAAAAAATGTAAAACACGTACATAAAGTGATGTTAGCAAATTATCAAATATTTGGGAAGGGTACGGACGTCGTTTCAAGCACCAAACCCGAATTCTCTTGCTCTATTTCTGAGGTTAATGTTACCATTTGATGGTCGAATTGGAAGCCATGAATGTAACTGGAAGCATACTCGACGCGTATCTGAGAGGTCCAGGGTTCGGTTCCGGCGAGGGCACTACACATTTTGCATATATCCTGCTTCAAAAGAAAAAAAAACTGATGACTTTATACAATTAGTAAATAAGATGTTTTAGGCAATATAATTAATATTCATCAATAATCAATGAAAATACTTTTCCAACTACATCAGTTTCATCGTTGTCTACGTAAAGAGAGACAAAGGTTTTCAACTTCAGGAATACTACACAGGGTGCACAAAAAGTCTCGGAAAATTTTTTACGTAAAGCACTGCATTGTTTCAGTGCAAAACTCATTGCACTGAAGAGTTGTTTTCTTCCTACTTACTGTCGGCGGATTTTTTTTTTGAGAGAGAAAGGGGAATGCTGTTTAAAAACCCACTAATACATAACGCTAACATGAGTGCTCTACGGAAAAAGATGCAAAGCTGGCTATTTAAGAAAGATCTGATTTATTTAATCGATGTAAAGTACGTCTAATTTTGACTTTACCAGAAAGGCTTCACGATCGCATCAAAATTTTGGACAGAATTCTGATGAATGAAAAATCTGTAAGAGAATGAAAGCCCTATCGCACGTACTAGGTTACCGAAAATTGCCAGATGAATTCAAGAAACTGGTCATCTGAAAGATGAACCGCCAAGCGGAAAGCTATCTTTAACCTAATCAACTAACTGCAATGGCATCTAAAATTGATGACCTAGCATTTTAAACTACGACTAGGAGTATCTGCAAAGAGGCAAGTCCTCCTCTTTAAGTTGTATTTTACATAGTGTCTAGAAACGTAATCATGGCAAATTGTAATCACGCACCAACTTCTACCAGCAGAGAAAAAAATCTGAAATCTGCTACAGGGCTTTGTCAAAGATTGTAGAGAACCCAGACCAGTGTTTAATGTCTTGTGGACAAACGAAGATCACTTTTCATTGCATGGAGATGTAAGCAAACACGACTATGACATACAGGCAACAGCTTATTTACATGTATATATAGTGCAGCAGTTTCACTCTTCATATCTGACCGTTTGATGCGATTTCACTTCGCAAAACAAAGTGTCCAAGAACTGTGCACATCTTTGAAAAATTTACTTCTTACAGTCGTACATATGGAAGACAGGATAGCAGTTCCCATCGCATTCATCAATAATAAAATTCCTGTCGGAACCTTCACTGAAAACAAATTTATCAGTATGCAGTGTAAGATTCTGCTGCCTCTAGATTTGACCTAACTGATTTCTGATTGTGCGGATTTAGTCAGTCTAGAGTTAAAAGCAGGGCAGTTCCACATCATCGGAATTGAAAGATTTCATTCGCCCGTGAAGAGACTTTCACATCCATCCGGACTTTTTATACACCGTAGTCAGGGACGCTGTCATTCGTTTCAGTTGTGTGATACTTTGTGATGGCAATCATATTGAACATTTGCTATTCCGATAAATTAAAAGAACTAAAGCAATTGACACTATCCTTTTCTTTCGGATGTACTCAGTGGCATCTAGTGGTGAGTTTTCAATATGGTATCGCATTTCGCTTCGTTAAAAGTTATTTAAAAAGAAAATCGAATATTTTTTGGCTCATACTGTGCCTGAAACTATCTGCAGATAAAGCGTCCTCTCGCCTTGTACAATAACCAAAGACGCCAAGCGATGGAAACATGACAGTACTAACCTTTAATTATGATCTTTATCACTTCTGATTCTGTACTTGTGGGTCGCTATGTATTTACTCAAATTACAAGAAAAATAAATAAAACCCACAAACAGGACTAATAAAAGAGAAATTTTGTAGTTCAAATGGAAAACTGAATATTAGATAAAATCGCAATCGGACTTCATTTCCGCCTTTTCACTCATATGAGAAATCTTTAAAGAGATTATAGAATGTAGAGATAAACTAAGTATTTAGAATGCATCTCATTCTGCTGTGCTATAAGAGAACGAAAGAAAAAGAGATTTCTTACCTACTGTAATTTATTAGATACACAGGCTAAACTTACAGATTAACATTAAAAAAAAAAAAAAAAAAACACACGAAAAGAGGCGGTCCACATAGTGGTGCAGCAGTAACACATCAACTTCCAAATAAGAACGCGTGCTCTCTAAAGCAGCCCTGAATTAGCATTACTTTTTGGATGTACGGAAACACTGTATTAATATTTCATTAAAATGATTACACCACAGGTGAAAAAAATCCAATATGTCATCATTTAGAGTGATTACTCACTCAGCTTCTTATCATCTACAGATTACTTTGGAGAGCATGGAAATTACTATCCAAGAACAGTTGTAGTGTCAATAATATTTTGAATAGTTTATTTACTTTAGGTATATCAGCGTTTCAATTAAAAAACTTTCGTTTATATCTATCTAAGCGACATCTCTAAGCAGCTTAACAAATTACAAATAAATTACGATGCTCTGACACTTATAAATTATTCAGCATTCTGAGATAAACAATTCAGCTTTATAAGCACCACTTCACTTAAAGGTTAAGAAAGCAAATTCAGTCATATTTTAATCTACACAAAAAATACGCTTAAGCTAAGTAAGAATTACGACCGAAGATGCGGTCCCGCGCGAGATTTGACAAGACAATGACACACATGAGGAGGAATTCTGTCATACAAAACAAATTGATAGCGAAGTTATCCAGACATTTTATCTAAAAAGATAAGGAAAACGTGAAAGTGCAAAAAGCAGGTTTCACAAAGACGTGCGTAAAAAAAGACTAAAGCTCTTAAGCACTCTCGAGCGCTTCGTATATTTTATGGGTGACGTCTTATTTTTACAAACATTACGTAAGACTGTAGATTTCAAATGCAGAATGCCTGGGGGCAAAAGCCCTTACACAGCATTACATAACACATAAAAGAAGAAAAATAAATTACCTTTTTTAAACTCATTCAGCATAACATCCAAAGTCTCATCTTCAAACACATAATTAATCGGATGATTGTAAAACTCGCATAAAGTTTTTAGAGGGGAATTATCATCTGGATCCACAAAGGCTAAATCTTTAATGTTTAACAAGGCTACTATATTATTGCGATCTCCTTCGTAGACTGGTATACGCGAATACCCTTGTTTCATTATCTCAGACATAGTTTCGAAGTTGAGTATCGCATTGTATGGAATCATAAATACATCATCAATCTGAGTCATTACATCGGCCACAGTTTTCTTTTTTAATTCCAAAGCACCGGATATTATGTTTACTTCTTCGTTTTCTAGCTTATTATAGTCTTTAGTGACACGAATGAACTCCATCAATCTCTCACGGTCATAAACGTTTCCTATCTCTTCCCCAAGCACGCAGTCTAAAATCTTGCTAATGGGGAACGACAAAGGAAACGTTGCCAGCATAAAAAATTTCGTGACCCATACCGTTTTAGCACCAATTGCCAAACCATGACGGGAACAGATTGCTTGAGGTATAATTTCTCCAAAGACAACAATGCTAATAGTCGATCCTACGATGGCTATGATACCTGAAGTAAGATCATCTAAAAGAATAGTGAGGGTACTATTCACTAAAACATTTCCCAGAAGAAGAGAGCACAACAGATAATTTCCCCTTTTTCGTAAAGGAGATATAACGCGAGCATATTTCTTCTCAGTTTCCGTTCCACAGTTTTCAATGACTTGCAGTTCAGTCCGATCTAACGCCATGAGACCAAGATTTAGACCACTGAAAAGCCCAGATAAAACTAACAAGGAGCATATCACACAAATCTGGATCCACATAGGTAAAAGTCTTCCAACAGGTTCCATTTTAAGCCATGGATCATCGCCTTGGTGAACCCACCTTACAGCTTCACCATTTTCGTACGTTTCTTTTACACAAATATAATAGCTTTCACTATCTTCTAGTAAAGGAAGCGCAAGTTCAACTTCTATTACATTTTCGGATAGCACACTTTCTTTCGTGACTTTAACAATTTTTGCTATAGGTAGATTGTCACACCGGCTGCCAGCGGGTTGACCGCTACCAGTGAAAGCTAACTCCGTATGTTCCGAAAAATGAATTCCAAACATACGAACTGTTATATTTACATTAGCCGGAATTTTCGTATATCCTTCTTCAGTTATATATACCCGGTCGCCTTCTGCTCGCAATCCGAAGACTTTAGTGCCACTTATGTCATTTTCATACCTAAGGACGAAAAGAATATATACATTACTTAAGCGCACGTAAAGCAAAAACAATTTTCTTCAGCAAGTAAAATAAACTACAAAGGAATAAAACAACTAAAAAAAAAAGAAATTTTATTGGGGACGGGAAATGATTTGTGAAAATTGATGCAAGTTTAAACTCCGCTGACTACATCTAAGAAACAGTTACATGGTTATCTTAATAATATGCTTTATGTATATCAACTATAGCTAGCAGTTCACAGAAAATTGCTGTTAATGTTAACTGAGAGATGTACATCACATTCGGAAGAGTTATGTAAATGTACAGTAATGGTTGATGATACTATTCCCCTCAGCATTCAGTATATACGAGTTGGGGAATTCCATTTAAAATATTATTTCTGAAAACAGAAAAGAAATACAGCCACATGTTCTAGACAGAGTATAAATATTCTGAAGGAGCCACATGCGGAAGCTAAATTTCCATTCTACTGAAGCATAATTTCACATGCTATGAAATTATGAACATGCATCATGCTGAAGAAATTGGGCAGGAAGAAAACTCACGACATCAAGGCATCAGCAGTAGCAACCTTTCGGTCGTAGGTTCGCGAAGAACTGTAGAAGAAATAACATGCAATACACATATTGTTAGCAATGAGGACACACATACATATGTATATATAAATACATAGACAATGTAAGGAAATGCATTAAACAATGCAATACACGTATTGTTAGCAATGAGGACACACATAGACATATGTATATATAAATAAACATAGACAATGTAAGGAAATGTATTAAAATAAGTATTAGAAAAAGTTTGAAATCTCACGTTAATATGTTTATGAAGGAAAAGTTCAGAGCACAATTTAACTACACTGTAAAACAACGATAAATTAATAAGTTGCATGCAAATTTCGTTTATGTTTCATAGTAAAATTTCAGTTTTTAGAAAAATTTAAAACCTATTCACTTTGCAGTCATAAGAAGGGTTAAAAAATTCGGTTTTACTCTATCTTCTACGGCGGACAAGGCTTCCACACGAACAAAGCAGATAAGAATATTTCTTACATTTTAACTGTTTCAAAATTAATAAGCTTTAAAAAACTAACATTCAGTTGTACTGTAACAATCTTGTAAAACAATTACGCCCTAAAATGAAGAAAAAAGAAATTCAGCAAATAAATTCAATGCTTTAATAAAGTAGTTCATACATTTTAAGTTGAAAAGCCTGGTTTTACCCTGCAAAGCAGAAAGTTGAAAATTGATCTTAAACAGAAATTTGGGATCAGTTTCCAGGAAGCCTGAAAAGCAAAGGTGTTGGTATAAACGCCTTTAATCGATGCTCTAATTGTGACTCTATAATCTTATCGATTAGTATTTTATTCTTTACTAGCTGAGTTTCTCGGCTCCTCTAGGGTAGGTACTGTATTGACAGCGAAGGTAAAGTTGTGATCAGATACTGTTTTGACACTGTGACAAAGACACAACGCAGGACACAGAGACGCACAAACCACACGACACAGAAAAACATCAAGTACAGGACAGAAAAACGCGCATTTGAAGGTCACTCTGAGACGGTTGTTTGGTTAATTTATGAGCATGCAAGAGATATTTGCCTTAGAAAGAGTGCTTTCATGTAGAGCTTTATAAGGCACTGGGAATATTTAGACTATGGGCAAAGCACACAAAGGCTGTCTGCCTACGGGCTAGATGCCTTTCTGGATGACATTTTAAAGGAAAGTGGCTCGTATCTACATTACACATACGGAAACAACAAGCTCCCATAAAGGTCAGACCGTTCGGCATGATTTAAATTCCAATTGAACTACCAGTGTTCAACGGCTTTACTACTCGGTTGCTAGCGAGCTTTAGAAGGAAAATTGGCTTTTTTACATATTACACACTAGGAAAACAACGAATCACCAAGCAACTCGCCCAATGGTCGGAAACAGAGACCATAAAAAAACTACCAGTTCAGCGGTCTTATCCTTTTCGTAACCTGCGCATTAAATTTAGAACCAGGAATGATTGTACCTGGTGGCAAAATGCCTAGCGCCGGCCGGAGGTTCACTTTACCTCGGATAATGCATGCTATAGCAGACGTTTTGACTACTTTCATCTCTGTGCTTCAAATTATACGTAAGGCCATTTTCTAATTCTCGATTTGCTTAGAAATTTTGCTTAAATTAGCTTCGAAAATGATTAAAACTTAAATCTGTATCACATGGGTCACCCTTATCGATACTGTTTCTCGAATAAATCGAGCCGAGAAGCGCATGAGCATTCTTGATCATGTTCATCTGGACGATGGCCAGACAATATACAAGAAAGCAACGGTTTTCAGTTATACAGAGTCCCCCGTATCCGCGGGTAATACGTTCTAAGACTTAACTGCGTATAACAGCGAACGCTGTATATCAGAATATTTGTATAACTGCGGTTACGTTTACTATTAAATTATGCAAGTCAGACCCTACCATCATGAAATAAAATAGCAACAAAGCATCTTGTATATTACAATATTTTATGTACCATACTACTATGTAAAGTAATGTACAGCATTTTCTATACTAAAATATACCCTTTCTCTACTAAAATATACCCTTTCTATACTAAAATATACCCTTTCTCATACATGTAAAAGTAAGAGATTCAGAGATTTTAATTTAATCCGCCTATGGCAAGTTACGAAGAAATTTAGTTCTTGTGCTACACAGTATAAAGTACTGCTTCAAAGAATGCTATATATAAAACGCTTACGGCCTTTAAAGCATACTCCTAGTTTCTAAGCACTTGCAGCACCACCAGTTTTACGTTTTGGGGCCCTTACCGTCGCGAATCATTTTGAGAGAGATGCTGTGATAACAAATTTAGAGTACTGTGCATGCCAAAAAGGAGATTGGAAGAATGTTTGAAAAGAGGAAGTATGGGTATGGAAATAAAGATAAGTCAAATACTGACCATCAATAACCGATATTCCTTAACATAATTTTTGATCAAATTCAGGTGTGCGCGCAGAGTTTGAGGGATTTTCTGCATATTTAGAATGCACATCAGGTTAGCTATAACCATTTCCATATTCAGCATTCAGTTACACTGGCCTTAATCGAGAGTGCAGGTTCTTGGGTAGATTACATAAATGTATCAGATCTAATATTTCGGATATGTTACGATCTTTAGTCATTTCTCTTTTGCATTTTGAAACTTACAAATCCTATGTAATTTTTTCCTCTGCATCTCGGAACTGCCGATAAATGAAAGTGTAGACAAGGGGCTATGAAGATAAATTGGGTTCACTGTACACTCATAAAACTAATAAAATGATACTGTAATTTATAATATAGCATTTAGATTATAAAGATTTTTTACCGGGTTTTCGGACACACATGGAAAAGATATGACCTGTAAAATTTTATAACTGAATAATTAGAAGGGCATTTTTTTTCCCTTTAGTGAAAATTACTTTAAAAAAATAAGTGAGAAATAAATGAAAAAATAAAGTTAGTAAATAAGTAAATAATAATAATAATAATAATAATAATAAGTCGAATTCAATTTTCACAATAATAAGCTATCTAAATTTTTAATTAAAAAATTTTATTTAAGAATTAAAACTGCTTCTTATGAATACCAAGTAATGAAACAAATTCCATTCTAAATATCATCTTCTGAGATCGGTTTTAATTCCAAATTACTATCTACACACAGCAGCTTTCCTTGCCCTCCCCATCCAAAAAAAAAAAAAAAAAAAAAACACTCAGTGACCTCAGATTCTACATCGGGGGGGGGGGGGGTGAAGGGCAGTTCTTTGCCCGTCTGACTGTAAGCAATTAAGTTATACGTAACGGTGAGAAGGTAAAAAAGCCATAATATGAGGCAAAGAATTTTTTTTAAACATTTGGACGTTAAAAAGCATCATTAGTGGAATATTTTCAAAATTTCTGAATCGTTCCGTTACGCTATGCAACCATTTTCACTCGCCTTGGCAAATATTGCATTGCGTGAAACGTGCATTTATTGTATTTAATTTGCTCAACTGATGATTTTAAGAACATTCGCAACCTTCGTGAGATTCACGCCAAGGTAAAGCAAAAATTGTGAAATTCATAACACACATGACATGTGCTCTTATATTAGTTGTGAAAATGTTTTGCGTGTGATCAATCGAACATAGCTAAAATTTGCGTTCCTTAGTAGTTTTTGTTCTAACTTAAGCCATTGCCTAACTATGTGCAGAAATTCCAGTTGACCCGTCAGCTGGTGCCTGCACAGTTGAGTAACAAACATCCAAAGTACGTTCCTTATATATTATTAATATCAAATTCTTTAAATTCAGAATTTAAATGCTGAAAATAAAATGAATAACAAAAATGAGCTATACTTTGTAACGATGTTGTAGAGTTATTAGTATTTTTCAATGTCAGGAAACTGAAGAAATGAGCAGTGCCCTCGACGGGACTCGAACCTCGGACCTCTCGAATACACGCCGAGTATGCTGGCCATTACACCACGAAGCAGCTTCAGTTTCTCTAACTACTGTGACATCAGCGTCGGAAAGAGTCTAAACTTGTTTTTCTACTGATTTTCGGATCTTTCTTCTCGTATTTATGCTACACTTCTAGAGATCACGAAATTACCCATGCTACAGCCCTTCGCTGGGATTCGTACTCCAGTCGAACGAACTAACACTGTTCAAAAGGTGTCATCCACTAGTATGTCATAATTGCGTTAATCTTTATTCAAATTAAAGTAAACAAGTCAGATGCCAGTAAAGTTCTGGTCGTTTAAGTATTATCAAGATCTGCCATTCATTTACTTTATTTACATTTTCTTCCTCGGAGAAAAATATCAGTCACGCAGTAGAATTTCAAGCGGAGAGCTCTGCAGATTTCAGAAAGAAAATTCCTGAAAGCACAATTCTTTAAAACAGTAAAACTGGCCACTTACCATTATCATGATTATGATAACGAGAAAACAGACAAAGCCTACCAAGAAATTAATAACAAAAAT